TGGACTCCTTCCAGCAGATCCTTGAGGCCACTGGGATGTGGGCTAGGGAGGAATGCTTAGGGCAGGACAAAGGGCTGACAGTGCCCAGCCTGGCTGGGGCTGTGCCAGGAGGCCCCAGAGCCTCAGGACAAGGTGTGTCCGTGCAGCCCTTGGTGGCACAGATCCTGCTGTGCCCCAGGGCACCAAGACTTTGCTTCTCTTTGTCCCCACCTGTCATCACTGCCTCCAGTTCTCTGCTCTGCCTGGGGCCTGGGGACACTTTCTCAGTNAACATGGAGTGAGATTGAGACCAGGATCAGGGTCAGGTTTGGGACTGAGCCCACCCAGAGAAGGACAGGGGGGATGTCACTGCAGGATTTCCCTGGCATCGTCCCAGCCCTCTTCAGGCACCTCCAAACATGGGGGGCAGCTGGGTGTTCCAAGATCCAGGTGCTCCCAAGCTGCTCCTCAATACCAGGTGAGAATTCCCTGAGGGCGACCCTGACTGTAACCCTTGGAGCTCTGGGATCAGCCCTCACATCCCTGTGGGAGCAGCTGCAGACAGGATGAGAGATTTTCTCCCCTCTCTTTCCTGTGGAAGGGTGAAGCCCGGCTGCCATTTTCTTATGGTGCCTCCTCCTCTCCTCAGCTAAGGATGTCAAACTCCCCAGGAGCAGGAATATCCCCATTCCCTGTTTGCTTGTGGCTGCAGCCTGGAACATTGACTGAGAACAAAGAACTTTCTGACAGCCCTGCTGAAAGACACTGGGAGGAGGTTTGTGAGAAAATGAAGAAATTGTATTTTGATAGGAAATAAAAGGTGCAAAGTCATTACTTTCTGGCCCATTCATTTTCAGTCAGTTCTGGTCTGTTTTCAGAGTGCCACCTTCTCAGCTGATTGTGTTTGTGTCTTCATTTCTCTCCTGCCTTTCTTTGCCTGCTCTGCTTCTCTGTCTCAGTGTCTCCCTTGACCCAGGGCAGCTCCCACCAAAGACCCTGCCCTGATTTAATTCCCAATCCATGAGCTACAACAACCATGGGGGAAGTTATGATGGCTGGCAGTGAAATGTCACTGTAAGATCTTGCTCCACTTGGCTTTTGCCTCCTTCTTGAGAGCTTTGCCTTCAAGGGCAGGAACATCTTTTCCTGGCTGGGAACTGGAATTCTAGCCCCTGGCAGTGTGTGCCATGGATCCCAGAGGGACATGCCCGAGGCGCCCAGGTTGCTGCTCCTGCCGTGCCTCCCAAGAAGCTGTGCAGGGCCAGGGCACAAGGTCCAGCAGCTCTGTTGGTTCTGCAGTGCCACAAGGGCCCCTGGTTCCATGAGTTTCCCTACTGCCAACAGCAGTTCCTTGGCTCCCATGATGCCCTGCTGCGTCACCATGGATATTTGGTGCCATGAAGTTCTTCAGTGTCACAATGGCCTCCCTTCCTCCATGAGCTTCCACAGTGTCAAAATGGACTCCTTGGATGGGCAGTGTCACCATGGACCATTGGCTCCATGCAGCACTGCTGGGTCACCATGGACTCCTTGGTTCCATGAAGTTCTGGGGGTGTGTCCATGGTCTCCTTGGATCCACAGTGTCACAATGGACCACTGGATCTACGTGACCCTGCTGGGTCACCATGGCCCCTTGGGTCCATGGGATCCCAGTGTCACAATTGACACCTTGCTTCCACGTCACCCCCTCAGTGTCAAAATGGCCCCTTCATTCCATGAGGAAGACAAAAGTTTTGTAGAAACATTGAGCAAATCCTGCTTAATTTTGCATTTAAGAGAGAGGCGAAAGGTGAGGATGGCACCAGCAGCTTCCATCTGCAACAGAGATCCAGGGAAAGGACAGGGACAGAGAATTCAGCTGGGAGACTCAGAGAATTCTGCTCCCAGAGATCATTTCTGCTCACACTGTCCCTTGTAGAAAGGTGACACCATTCCAGGNCTTCCTTTTCCTCGCAGCCTCTTATTGCATTTGATCAAGGTTTGGGAATGGGAAATCCTTTTTTGGGAGAAAAACAAGGGATGAGCAAATTCAGTTTTATACTGGTTTGAAGGCACACCTGGGGAAAGGTCTAAACCAGAATTACAATGTAAGAGGAAAAGGAAGATAATGGCAATGATACAGAAACACTGCCTTAAACTGACAGTCAGGATATAACCTGACACCTTGTTTATCAGGGTGGTGGCAGCAGTCCTGCGGGAGTGATGAACGTGATTCTGTCAAAGCAGTGATCCTGTAGAAGGGTCTGGTCTTCCTCTGAAGGTCCAGTGGTGGTTATGGAGCTCTTGTCCTCTGGGAATCCAGTAGGCAAACTGCTCCTGGTGTTGCAAGCCTCAGCTTATATCCAGGTATGAATGCTTGCATCCTCCCCCTGGGCGGAGCATCCCACAATGGGATGATGGAATTTTATCAGTCCTGCAGTGACACTCAATGGCCCATTCACAGAATATATCTCCCCTGGAGGGCGTTATCAGGGAGGAGTCATGGAAGAGATAAAGAACACTGCCCTGCATGTTTATAACAGTTGATGAAGATGGTGATTGAAAACATGCATTTGGGTACATCCTACATTGCAACCTGAAACAGTGGGGTAATCCCTGCTTGGGTGGGTGAACACCACCCCCCCTTATCCAAACTGGCTCAGGTGTAAAACCCCCTCCCTGGGAAGGCCACACACACAGGGGAAAATGTCACACTTGGCCCCCCTCCAGGAGGCCTGTCACGCTTTTTCACAGGCTGGGTGACTTTGCCAAATGTTAGAATAATTTTTCTCTTTGTCCCTGTCACCTTTGTGACAGCTACACAGAGCTTCCCCTTCCTTTTCATATTCCGTATTGGGCCTAATTTCAACTTTTCTTTTATCAGAATGTTCCAGCAGCTGAGCTGGAGCTGTGCAGGACCAATGGAATTTGGATTTGCCACAAAATAGCTTCTACTGTCAGTTTATAAAATTTTGGGATTTGTTTGAGTTTTCATCACGTGACTTGTGGGAAAAACAAATATTCATCGAAGTATTTTATGCAGAGTTAAGTTTGATTTCTGTCAAATTTATTTTGTCCGGTGCCCAGGGGATGCTCTGTGCCTCTCACTCTGGGGGATGCTTGGGAGGGTCTGGGGAGGGCCCCTGTCCCTGTCATCCCAGGCCATTCCCCAGGAAGTGTCCCTGTCCTGGTCACCCCAGGCCATTCCCCAGGGGGTCTCCATCATTCTCACCCCAGGGAATGCCTGGGGGGTCTCCCTCTCTCTCACCCCTGTGCCAGGGGGTGCTCGGGGCAGTCTCTGTCCCTCTCAGCCCAGGGGATGCTCAGGGGTCTCTGTCCCCTCACCCTGGGGGATGCTCAGGGGGGTCTCCATCCCTCTGGCCTCAGGCAATGCCTGTGCAGGGCTGGGGACCAGGGGCTCTGTGTCCCTCTCACCACTGAGGGTGCTCGGGGNCCCTGGCCCTGCACAGCTCCTTGGGAGGCACGGCAGGAGCAGCTCCCTGGGAACCTTGGGAATGTCCCTCTGGGATCCACGGCACCCACTCCCAGGGGCTGGAATTCCAGTTCCCAGCCAGGAAAAGATGTTCTTGCGGTGGGACGCAAAGACCTTAAAAGGACATAAAAGCCAAGTGGAGCAAAATTTTACAGTGCCATTTCACTGCCAGCCTTCATAACTTCCCCCATGGTTTTTGTAGCTCCGGGATTGGGAATTAATTCAGGACAGGGTCTTTGGTGGGAGCTGCCCTGGGTCAAGGGAGACACTGAGAGAGAAACAGAGCAGGGAAAGAAAGGCAGGAGAGAAAGGAGGACACAAACACAATCAGCTGAGAAGGTGGCACTCTGAAAAACAGAACTGGAACTGACTGAAAATGAATGGGACAGAAACTAATAGTTCTGAAAATTTTATTTGCTATGAAAATACATCCCACACTCCCAGCCCCCCACAATCCTGATCCCACACACTCAAATTTGGATCCCACTTCTCCCAGTCTATATCCAATCCCATCTCACCCTGGTGTTTGTGGAATTGAGTAGTTTTAGCACGGGACTGAATTTTTTTTTTTGTGGTGGGAACAAGCAATTTGAGGTTGGATGGAGCCCTTTGGAGTCAGATTGTGGTGTTTTCAGTGGAACTGAGTAATTTTGAGGTGACAGATCAATCTGTCTTTACTTTTGGAGTGCAAAGATATGGAGAACACTTCTGAAATCCCCCAAGAACCCACAAATGTTCCAGAATATGTCCCCAAACTATAAATTCCTGCTCAAGTAACTGTTAACTGATGGAAATTTCGACATCTTTGATAAATTTCTTTCTTTTTAGTTCTATTTCAGATGTTTTAAAGTTATAAAGAAAAATCAAAAGGAAATTTGTGCCAAACCAAAAGGATAACCAGCCAGGTGTCCTCCCAGCACAGATCACTGAATGTGGGTTACCAGGGCTCTGTCCAATGTGCATCCTCCCATGGGGGATGGAGCTGGAGTGATGCACAAAAGTCTTCCAGCAGTTGGGTCATTTGCAGGGCTTCCCTTACCAATGCCTCCATTGGTGTCTGGTCAAGTGAGAGCTCATGGAGATGCTCTTCCCACACTGGAGACACTCTTAAGGCCTCTCCTGAGTGTGGATGCGCCGGTGGGTGATGAGGTGGGAGTTGTGCTTGAATCTCTTCCCACAGTCGGGGCAGTGGAAGGGCCTCTCGTCAGTGTGAATCTGCTGGTGCTGGAGGAGATGGGAGCTGGTGTGAAACCTCTTCTGACACTGGGGACACTCATAGGGCCTCTCCCCATTGTGGATGTGTTGGTGCATGATGAAGTGGGAGCTGCACCTGAAGCCCTTCTCACATTCCCCACACTCATAGGGCCATTCCCCAGTGGGGATCATCTGGTGGCAGATCAGGGTGCTGCTGTGCCTGAAGCTCTTCCCACACTCTAAGCACTTGTAGGGCTTCTCCCCACCATGAAGCTGCTCATGGACCACTAGCTCTGAGCTCTGGCTGAAGCTCTGTCCACCTTCCTGGCTCTGGGTGGGTCTTTCCTCCTCAGAGCNGCCACCACCTGCACACGCCCATGTTCTTCTTCCTGCTCAACCTGGCCCTCAGCGACCTGGGCTCCATCTGCACCACTGTCCCCAAAGCCATGCACAATTCCCTCTGGGACACCAGGGACATCTCCTACACTGGATGTGCTGCACAGCTCTTTTTCTTTATGTTCTTCATCTTAGCAGATTTTTATCTCCTGACCATCATGTGCTACGACCGCTACGTGTCCATCTGCAAACCCCTGCACTACGGGACCCTCCTGGGCAGCAGAGCTTGTGCCCACATGGCAGCAGCTGCCTGGGCCAGTGCCTGTCTCAATGCTCTCATGCACACAGCCAATACATTTTCCCTGCCCCTGTGCAATGGCAATGCCCTGGGCCAGTTCTTCTCTGAAACCCCACAGATCCTCAAGCTCTCCTTCTCCAAATCCTACTTTAGGGATGTTGGGCTCATTGCTGTTAGTGCCGGTTTAGCACTTGGCTGTTTTGTGTTTATGGTTTTCTCCTATGTGCAGATCTTCAGGGCCGTGCTGAGGATCCCCTCTGAGCAGGGACGGCACAAAGCCTTTTCTACCTGCCTTCCTCACCTGGCTGTTGTCTCCCTGTTTGTCAGCACTGCCACATTTGCTCACCTGAAGCCCCCATCCATCTCCTCCCCATCCCTGGATCTGGCCCTGTCAGTTTTGTACTCAGTGGTGCCTCCAGCCCTGAACCCCCTCATCTACAGCCTGAGGAACCAGGAGCTCAAGGCTGCAGTGTGGAGACTGATGACAGAATGGTTTCAGAAACATTAAACCGCTGGCCAATTTTTGCAAATCACTTGTAATAAAAGTCATCTTTGATACTTGTTAGTTTCATTTTGGAGGTTGTTTCTCTTTTTATTTTACTTTTTTCACCTTGTCCACTAATAAATATGATTGTTTGTGTCATTTCTAATTTTGTTTCTCTCCATCTTCCCTATGGCCACAGACTGTATCAATGAGGGGCTGCACTCTTGGTGGCTTTAAAGGAACTAAAGGATCTCCCAGCAATGTTTTCTGCAGATATGCCCTTTTTTTTCCTTCTCTGGAGCTGCAGCAGCAATGTCTGTGTGCAGAGCTGGGGGCAGATCAGTGCTGGCCCAGCAGCTGTGCCCAGC